GATTTCAGGAGGGATGTGTCCCACGGTTCTCATGAGCCCTTTGGTTTTGTCCATTCCCCCATTTCTGAATGGTTCAGTCACCCCTCAGGGCAGAGGTGGCTCTCACTCCCCCACTTGCCCGAGAGGATACTTCTGGAAAGAAGCCTGGCAAAGGTTAGGCGAGTTTACTCTAGATGGAGAGTGAATCAGCACAGTAGACTCCACTCAAACTGGGAAAGTTCTGCCATGTGTTGCTCACTGCACTGTAAAAGCAATAGCTGCGTGGGCCTCATGCTGGTGTGCATGCCACCTACTATTTCAGGTCAACATAAAAAGGAAAAAGACACGTGACTGTCCCCTAGCAGCCTTGTGCCATACTCAGAAGAGGACAAAGCTGGGTTTTGCTGGAGCCTGATGTCTGGAGAACAGGTATTGTGCACATAAACAACGCAAACTAAAACACAGCAATTTTCATCTTGGTGGCAGCATTCCCATCTGCTGATGTGCCTCTCAGTGCACCAGCTAACTCAATTCTGCATTCCGACCTGGAAGCAAATCCAACTGCGAGAGTTTCTCCGGCAATTCCGAATGTTTGTTAGTTGTTTTACTGCTATTTCTTGTGCTTTTGAAGCAGCTATACCCAGTGATGAGCTGCCAAAATCTTAACGGGTTCCCTCCTCACCCCACGAGGGGGTCGTTGCCCACCCCCACCCCCGGGACTCCTGCCCCATCCAACCCCCCTGCGTTCCTTGACGCGCCACGCCCTGGACCCCGCCCCATCCAACCTCCTCCCCTGACTGCCCCCAGAACCAGGCAGGAGGGTCTCATGGGCCACCGTAGTGGGTGCCCACCCCACCCCTAAGAGCCAGAGGAACCTGCCGGGGGGGCGAGGTGGGGAGTGCCGGCAGTGCTTACCTGGGGCAGCTCCCAGGAAGCATCCGGCAGGTCCCTCTGGCTCCTAAGAGCAGGGGAGCGTCGCTAGGGGGGGAACAGGGGGGAGCGGCTGCTCCCCCACTGATCACATCAAAAGTGGTGCCTTAGGCACCGACTCCCTGGGTGCTCTGGGGCTGGAGCACCCAAGAGGAAAATTGGTGGGTGCAGAGCCCCCAACGGCAGCTCCCTGCCCTGCACCCGGCCCCAGCTCACCTCTGCTCCGCTTCCGCCCCTGAACACGCCGCCCCGCTTGGCTTTTCCGCACCCCCCCCCGGCTCCCCGTGAATCAGCTGTTCGGCAGGAAGCTGGGGAGGGCTGAGAAGCAGGCGGTGGCTTCCTGCTCAGGCCCAGGGTGGCGGAGGTGAGCTGGGGCGGGGAGCGGTTCCCCTGCGCCCCCCCCCCCAGGTTACCTGCTGCGGGGCGGGCGGCCCTCCTCGCCCCCCCCGCACCAGCTCCCCTCCGCCTCCCTGGGCCTGAGCGCGAAGCCGCGTCCTGCTTCTTAGCCTGCCCCAGCTTCCCGCACGAACAGCTGATTCGCGGGAAGCTGGGGGGGGGCGGAGAAGCAGGGCGGGGTGGCGCGTTCAGGGGAGGAGGCGGAGGCGAGCTGGGGCCGAGGGTGAGGTGGGGAGCTGCTGGTTGGTGCTCTGCACCCATCAAATTTTCCCCTTGGGTGCTCCAGCCCCGGAGCACCCATGGAGTTGGCGCCTAAGGCGCCACTTTTGGCCGGTTAAATTTAGAAGCCCTTTTAGAATTGGTTCTCCCTCGTGCAACAACCAGTTCTAAAAGGGCTTCTAAATTTAACAACCGGTTCTAGCAAACCGGCTCCAGCTTACCACTGGCTATACGTAAAGATACTCTTTGCTTCTTTCCCTTTTTCAGAACAAAACTACAGCATGCTAAAACATAAATAGGGATTTAGTTTCCGTCTTCAGACTTGTACTGAAAGGTGTCTAAAGCTTTGTCTGGTGTTAACCATCAAAATGCATTTCTGAAATTTACTGTTGTCCTGGGACATTTGCCACTTTGGAACATGAAAATATCACCTTTTCCATGAAAAAAATAGCTTTAATTATGGTTTTTACAAATTTACAACTAACAGGTATGCATGCTCTCAGTGAACTGAATTGACTTCTGTCGAGCAGGTGCATGGCGTGGTAAGCTTTTTTCCCCCTGAAGCATTCCTACCTCCATAGTTACTGGAAAGGTGTGCTGTCTTGGCAGACGTATGAGCACTTCTTTGTATCCCACAAAATATCCTGCTTTTTTCAAATGTTCCTTAAAGGGGAAATTAAGTTAGAAAAAACATAAATAATGTTGAGTTGCAACACAAACCTTCAAGAGTCAGAGAACTCAAATCATTATAGAAGCAGCCATGCCTTTTTTGTTTTTTTCTCCCCGCCCTCAAGTGTTGTAAACTAGACAGGAGTGATTGGATGTAGTATGGTTTCAGAGGAACAGCCGTGTTAGTCTGTATTCGCAAAAAGAAAAGGAGTACTTGTGGCACCTTAGAGACTAACCAATTTATTTGAGCATGAGCTTTCGTGAGCTACAGCTCACTTCATCAGATGTTTACCGTGGAAACTGCAGCAGACTTTATATACACACAGAGAATAGTTCCCAGAAGTTACCTACTACAGGACAGGCCTAACAAAGAAAATAACAGAACGCCACTAGCGGTCACCTTCAGCCCCCAACTAAAACCCCTCCAACGCATTATTAAGGATCTACAACCTATCCTAAAGGATGACCCAACACTCTCACAAGTCTTGGGAGACAGGCCAGTCCTTGCCTACAGACAGCCCCGCAACCTGAAGCAAATACTCACCAACAACCACATACCACACAACAGAACCACTAACCCAGGAACTTATCCTTGCAACAAAGCCCGTTGCCAATTGTGCCCACATATCTATTCAGGGGACACCATCACAGGGCCTAATAACATCAGCCACACTATCAGAGGCTCGTTCACCTGCACATCCACCAATGTGATATATGCCATCATGTGCCAGCAATGCCCCTCTGCCATGTACATTGGTCAAACTGGACAGTCTCTACGTAAAAGAATAAATGGACACAAATCAGATGTCAAGAATTATAACATTCATAAACCAGTCGGAGAACACTTCAATCTCTCTGGTCATGCAATCACAGACATGAAGGTCGCTATCTTAAAACAAAAAAACTTCAAATCCAGACTCCAGCGAGAAACTGCTGAATTGGAATTCATTTGCAAATTGGATACTATTAATTTAGGCTTAAATAGAGACTGGGAGTGGCTAAGTCATTATGCAAGGTAGCCTGTTTCTTCTTGTTTTTTCCTACCCCCCCCCCCCCCCCGATATTCTGGTTTAACTTGGATTTAAACTTGGAGAGTGGTCAGTTTAGATGAGCTATTACCTGCAGGAGAGTGAGTTTGTGTGTGTATGGGGGTGGGGGGGATGTGAGAAAACCTTGATCTATGCAGGAAATAGCCCTACTTGATTATGTAAAGAGTTGTCACTTTGGATGGGCTAGCACCAGCAGGAGAGTGAATTTGTGTGGGGGGTGGAGGGTGAGAAAACCTGGATTTGTGCTAGAAATGGCCCACCTGTTGATCACTTTAGATAAGCTATTACCAGCAGGACAGTGGGGTGGGAGGAGGTATTGTTTCATATTCTCTGTGTGTATATAAAGTCTGCTGCAGTTTCCACGGTAAACATCTGATGAAGTGAGCTGTAGCTCACGAAAGCTCATGCTCAAATAAATTGGTTAGTCTCTAAGGTGCCACAAGTACTCCTTTTCTTTTGGATGTAGTATGCATTCAAGCCCAGTCATTCTTATTTTTGTAGATGCAAAGCAGTACAATCTGCATCTTGCAAGATTGTATACAGGTGCCACTTCCTGGATGACTTTGTACATACATTCAGCAAAAAGGTCAAGATTTTCAAAAATAAGTGAGCCCCTTTTTAAGAGAAAGAATTCCCCACACTTTGGGTCACTGGAACCTGCCGGGTGCTCAGCACTTTTGAAAAAAATCATCCCACATATTTAAGGAGCCTAAATCAGGAATTAAACAAAATAAAAAACTCCAAACCAAAAGTACCCCCCTTCCCTGAACTTTCTGGCTAGTCAATGTTCCAACCTAATTAATTAAAGAAAAAGTGTCTCCTCCCAAGCTGAGACTCTTGTAGTTTCCTGCCTCCCCTCACTGACTGTAATACTCAGGAACGAGAAGCTCCCACCTCCCAGGGAATGGTAGGATGCCCCTTATTACAGGGAAGTCTGCAGACCGTCCAAGGACACTATCATGCTAAATGGCCTTCAGACCTTACCTACAATGGTTTTTAAAAAAATATTTATTCCTGTAGCTATAAATTAGAGATGAATGGGAGACCCTTGGGCTCTCATTTGCATGTGGTCCTTATGAATGAATTTCAAGGCTTTCCCACTGCAAGGGGCAGTTTTTGATAAGAGAAATGTATATGTTTACACTCATTAGTTTACCAAGTTTTGCTCCCATTTCAGCCTCTGCTCTAGAGAGCGTGAGTGGCTCGGTTATCAAAGGAAAGCGCAGTGAATCAACTACTTACTGTTCTTACCTTCCTTTGCTTCTGGTTTAATCAGCAGAAGAAAACATGCTAACTGGCTCATCTCTAGTTTACAGATGTGAAGTTGACCAAGGCATCAAGCTTTGTCTTTCTATCCATTAATTACAGTAATGTGCCCAGATTTCTTACACAATCATTTGATAAAATTCAACTTGTACAATGCCCTTTTCATACACAACACATCCCAAAGCTGCAATACGCACGGTGCTACTTGGCTCATTAAACACTTGGACTCCATGCTGAGAACCATGCACTCTCACACTAATGCAAACAGTGCCCATGGGCACACAAACACCCACATGCTTGTGAGGGCAAATGACTATGCACGTACACACACACACACACACTTGTGAGTGCACCAGGGGCATGTGCCTACAAGTAGCTCCATGAACATCTAATTTCATGCGCACAGATGAATTCACAAACATGCACGCACACAGTCCTACCAGCGAGCGCATGGGCATGCACACACACAAAACCTTCACACATCCGGGGACATCGGAGACAAGAGCTTTTGCTCATTTTTTTTTAATGTATCACAATGAGCAGGAAACATACTTGATGAAATATTTTCAAAGGAGTATATTCAATTACCATCTACAATCAACTTAACTATGACAACAAAGTTTTTGTGACAATTTTTTTTTTAAAGTTTTGAAAGTTCCATGTGGTTTCTGTTTCTGTTCGTCTCCATGTATTTTGGTACAGTTCGAGATCAGCATTGTTACAGTAACAAAAAAGCTAACAAGACTACATTATAGAAAAACACCAAGAACATCATTTTTGGTTTCACTTGCTCTATTATTTGTACATTGCAAAGGCTGTTCATATACCTCTTCACCTCATTTACGCTTTCTGTTCTACCCAAACTTGCCCCCCAAAAACAAACAAAAAAATAGTCAAAGCTTTGTGTTTCACAGTGGGCAGTATCTCAGCCAACAAACCAACCAAATTTCTGCTTCTATTTAAAATGTTTTAATTTAGTTAATTTATTTTAAAAAAAGCAAAATATATTTTCACAAACATCAACTGTGCTGGCTTGTGTTAATGCCTCTCTGTTGTCTGCATCTTCCTGCCTTGCCTGCTGCACGGGCGCAGGTTGGCCCTCTAAACACATGCCTTACAGTGTATTTCATACTGTTGTGTGAGAAATTTGGCCATCTTCGCCTCTTTAAAAAGCTTTTAATTTAAAAATAAACAGTAATCGGCTCTGTGCTGTGTTTAAAATCTTTTCCTTGTGGGGGTTTTCCACCTCCCCCTTTTCTAGGAAAAGCAGAAGGGAGGAGACCTCAGCTCTAGGGTTCTATCTGGTGCTGTTCTAAGCAGACTGAGTAGTACCAGCTACTCGGGTCTCAGAGCCCCCTTTGGGATTGGTGTCCAGCACCAGGCCACTTTGTTGGTTTTTCTATTTGAAATAGAAAAATTTATATTATGGGGAAATTTTTAAAAAGGCTTTGAAAATGACCCCCTTCCCATAGCCTCTCAAGGAGAAGAGAGGTGCAAATTCTCAAGTGAAGGCCAGTCTGAAGGGCAGAAGTGTAGACAGATATTGAATTACTGGCATGAATTTTAGTGCTCATGAGAGTGAGAGACTAACAGCGCCGGCTACAGATTGGCTTGGTATGAGCAGACAGGCACCATGCAAGTTTCCCAACACAGCCTGTATGCATCTCAACCCTGACTGGCACCACACCTGGTATTCTAGTTCTGGGCCTCTCCTGAGCAGCGACCGCTAACTGTACCACAGTGTGTTAAAAGACATGGAGGTGGGGGGAGAATAGTGATCTGATGGGGAAAATTATCCTCCAAGGACTTGGTTGAAACCATCACTCATTTCATCTGCGATTAAAGCAGTATTACAACCGAGGAGTCCACATAACACCTTCAACCCCTGTGGGAATTCTGCAGCAGGAATCAGACTTTGGCAACCCTAACCCTTCTGATGTTCATCAATTTCACTTCGAGTGAGAGCACAGTAGCTCAGCCTGGGCTGGAGAAAGCGAGCAGGCCCTGCAGCCACTGCTGCATGGCACTTCAAAAGGATGAGACAATCTCAGACTGAAAGAGTATCTAGAAATATTTAGGAAAAAAATATAAGAAAATAAGTTTAAAACACTTTTTAGTGGGTGGGAAGGAAGAGGGAGAAGAAGGAGAGAGAAATTGCACTATGACCAAACGACATAATAAAAACCAAAAGAAAAGATTTCAAAAGATACCTAGCAGAATTTGACAGATAAAGGTAGTGTTAAATTGTTAACTTGTATCACACAGAGAACCAAAAACAAAACAAACAAAATATTTCTATATGATACAGACAGAGTAACATACAACAGTTAAATGGCAAAAATATATATATATATATTTGAATATATATATATCATAGAATTACAAACAAGATAAAATAATGGAAAACAAAAAACTGTACAACTTTGAAATTTAAAAAATGTTCATCTCAAACACAGGGAGAAATACAAGAACTTTTGTTAAAAGAAAACAGTTTGTTAAAAGAGCAAACGCTTTGTGTACTTGTTTTCATTTTTGACACCTTATGCTACAACTGGATACTCGTATGAATATTAGATGGTACTCTCTTTAGTATTGTCTACTTAAAAAACAATTAAAAAAGGAATTTGCACTGTGCATCAGCCTAGTTAGAAATATGTACAACATTTCAAGATCTAGTCTTTCATTAAACTAAAAACAAAAATTCATAAAAATAAGAGTCCCGGCTAAAAAAATGAAATCCGCGTTTCATATCTCGGAATGCTCCAGTCTCTTGAAAAGTTGATGAGTGGCTTCAACATTGGGAAAAGAAGCCAGAGGGTGAACAATGGAACCTGCATTCACAGTCTTCGAAGTTCCCTTTTGAAATATAAGGAGGATGACAGGGTGAATGATTTCACACTTTCAAGGGTCGGGAGGAAGGGAGATTGTTTCTGTTGACATTTGGCTAGGGAAGTGAAATAGCAAGCATCTGTCTCCAAAATCTACATTTTAGCAGCACAAAGTTTTTCTTTTAAAGTCCAGACCATAAGAGGGGTGTGTGTGTGTGTGTGTGTGTGTGTGTGTTTTCCACTAACAGGAACACAGAGATTAACATAAACACAAGTGCCTCACATATGGGATTTTTTTGTTTTGTTTTTTGTTTTGCTTTCTGTACATTGCTATCTGATTCTTTGCGGGCTGCACCTCTGGGTCTCTCACCACTCAGACTGCCTAACACAAGGACAAAACTTTGAAGTAAAAACTTGTGTTTTGGTATGTTGAATTTTCATAAAGAGTTGCCTCTCTGCTTGCAGAAGAAGCACAGATAACAACCTGGGAACTTTTTTATTCTTTTCTTTATTTAAACTTAGTTTTGTTTGTTTAAATCAGAAACAAATTCTCATGTAAAAAGAAACCTTTTTGCTCATTCTGCACCAGTGGTGAAAGGGTATGTCTTTGGATTTTATTTAAAGCATGAATTTTTTTTTGAGAAAAAATGTAACAAAAAGTTATTTTAAAAGAAGGAACAGAGTGCAGCCTAATTACACAAACAAACGCTTATAGTTTAGGAACAGAATCTTTGAAGCATTTACAAAATGAGGAAAGGAAGAGAAAAAAGGAAAACGAAAAATAAGAGATAAGTGCACAAGGGTAACAGACATAGGTAAATCGTATGTATATGTCTTAAAAAGTTTCAAACCCCCAACAAAAAATATTCTGCAAGGGATCCTACTGACCCCCAAAACCCTTTGAACTTCTTTCTTTAGTTTTTATAAAATAATTATGCAACCACCCTCTAAGAAATGAAGGCAGTAACCATAAGTGGAAGATTACAGGATGGGTGAAAGGGGAATAAAGGTACAAAGGGGAGAAAAGCTTAGGCGAGTCAATGGATTGCAATCTATCTGGCTAGGAATGAACAAGACAACATCAAATGAGAAGCCGTCAGCTGGACCATACAAAAGCTAAATGTACACAAAAGGGTTTTTTCTTTTAAATCTACCATACTGCTTCAGTTCATTTCCAATGCAACAATCTACTCAACACCAAAAATGGTCATATCTATCATAAATACAGAAAGTCAGTTGTTTTAAAACTTATTTTTAAGCTCCAAGTCCTCAACACTCTGTGTTTTTTTTCTGAAAAGTGGGAGTGCTTAACTTTTCCCCTTGAAATTGGCTTCATCAGAAAAGCTACCCTTAAAATCCCCAGAAAGCGAAAGCAGTTCACATTGTTTTTCTCTTGAATACTTTCTGCCCATTTTAAATTAAAAAACAACCTCCCCCCCAGCCCAAAACAACCCTCCCCAAACCCAACAAAACAAAATTCTTTTCTGGAACAAAAAACAAAACAAAACACCCAAAACAAACAAACAAAAAAATTATATATATATATATATATATATACATACACACACACACACACACATATATATATATATATATAAAAACAATGATTCTGAAAACAGAACAAAGTGTGAGCGATTGACCTGAGAATAAAAAGACATTACATTTCTTTTTTCTTTTAGCAAGCCATTGGTATCTGAATGCTAAGATAGCAAGAAATTTAAACTGTAGCCCGGTGGGCTGCTTTCCCATACAGTGCATGCCGGCCTTTGCTGTGCTATCAATGTGGGGGCATTATTGGAAAAGGGCAATATACAAGGGGTTTAAGCTCCAAAGACATTAAGGAGGCAGTTTGGACTTTTGTCTCCCAGACCAACAGGACCTTCAAAAGGACAAATGTAAGAGAGGTTTTTTTGTTTTTTTTTTTATTAAAAGAAAAAAAAAATGTAAAACCCACCGGCATTGTTATATGGGAAAACAACCCACGCTTTTTCTTTTTTCTTTTTCTTTTTTTGGTTAGAAGCTTTGGAATTGCAGTTAGTCTATTTTTGAAATTGGTTTGTTATTAATTTTATTTAAATTCATTTTTGTATTGTTCATCTTCAAAGCTTACAATCTGAAGGTGTCCATTCCTACACTAGTTAGACCACTGTCCTTCGGGCAGCTGGGGTCTTTAGGCCCCTCCCCCGGGCTAGCCGGTCCATCTGACTTTTGGCTAAGATCCGTGTCAGACTCCTCCGAATAGTCGTCTGTTGGCATCGAGGGCTGAACCCCTGAGGTGCTGCATGAACTTGAGGTAACCGTTGGAGATGAGGAGAGAGGAGGGAAAGAAGGAGGCGGCGGCTTCCCAAGTGGAGCCCGGGAGAGCGCTTGAGGCCAAGACTTTCTGGAGGCGTGGGGGGAAGCTGAAGAGGAGGAGGAGGACAGAGGGGCTAGGGGGCTGTCGTTTGAGTGAGCGGCAGACTGCGAGGTAGATGCGGTGCTAGGATCGGGGAGGCAGGCAGAGTGAGGTAATCGACTGGGGTGCTCTTTGGCGTTTCTTGCTGCTCTGGTGATTGTTCGGTGTTTGTGAGGGGCTGACTCGAGATGCTGACTCAGGGCTTCGTCCCCGCACACTGTGCTCTCGCACGCCACGCACTGGTACGAGCTGCTGCCCTGGCCCCCGCCCGTGGGCACGTGGAGCACCATCTCCTGCAGGCTCGCCGCAGGCTGGCCGAAGCAGCAGAGGGACGTCAGGTGGTGGCTGGCCGCCTCCCGGTCGCTGAAGCCCGCCTGGCACTTGCGGCAGACCAGCTTGTACTGCACCTTTGGAACGATGAAGGGGTCACACAGGGAGTCCGCGCTGTTGCTTTCTGCTTCGGGCTCTTCTTGGGGTTTGGGCAGGAGGGGGGACACCTCACGGGGGGCGTTTTTCTGCTCTTCCTGTTTGGGGGATTCTTTGGCAGGGTCTTTGTCGGGGGGGGGCAGCCCCCGGGGGGGCTGGGGTTTGGCTTCCTTTGGGCTGCGGCTGCACTTTTTCGGCGGCTGCTGCGGCTGCACTGGTCTCTGCTGCTGCTGCAGAGCCTCCTGCAGGCTCTGCTGGTACTGCTGGTACTGCTGCAGCAAGGAGCCGGGGGACAGGCCGAGCAGAGCCTGCGACAGAGCGGGGCTGTAAGGGAACAGGCCCTCCATGCCGTACATGGGCTGCAGGTACCCGCTCTGCAGGGCCCCAGGAATCTGAGGGGCGTAATAGGGTGAAAAGCCTGGGACAAAGTAGGGAAGGAACTGGCTTGTAAGCAAGGCTGTGGGGTCTGAATTCAAGGCAGCCTGCAGAGCCTGAAGCTGGGCAGGCTCCACCGCATACTCCATGGTGGGCAGGGGGGCAGAAAGGGTCGCTGCAGGGGCCTCTCCTTTCTCCTTCTTGGGCCCCGGCAGGGAATCCCCTTTCCCTTTAGGCGCCTTCTCCTTCTCTTTCATCTTCTCACTTTCCTTATCCTTGCGCGGCTGCTGCTGCGGGGCCAGGGCCACGGGTGCTTGTGCTGGAGTTGGGGAGCTCAGCGCGGCGGGGGGCTGTTTATTTGGTAATCCAGATGTGGGAAGGCCAGGTGAAGGGACGCTTGTGCTGGGCAGACCCATCAGGCTGGGTTTTGGAGAAGTTAAAGCTAAAGGGGGGAAGCAACAATAAAATCACTCAGCACCGTGCAGGTCTAAGAGCCCTACCGGGGGCTATGGCTGAGCAGGGAGGTCAGTCCACAGGCCAGGCTGGATCCCGGCAGCGTCACCGCAAGCAGGACAGGCCTGACGCCGGCTGCTCAGCCATGGGCCTGGCTGCAGGGGAGCAGCTCTGTAAGTGACACTTTTAACCTACAACGTACTTTAGAAACGCGAGGTCAGGGTGCTAGCCTGGGACTCCAGAGACCTGTCTTCAATTCCCTGCTCAGCCAGACTTCCTTTGGGACCTTGGGCAAAGTCACTTGGCCTCTCTGTGCCTCAGTTCCCCCTCTGCACAATGCGGACAATAGCATTGCACTGCCTCCTAGAGGCGGTGTTCACACATACAGTAAAGACTGTCAGGAGCCCAAACTGTACAGGCCAGTTAAACACCGAAGAGTAATGAGTTCACCTGTCTGCTTTCCCTACCTAGTTTTGGCAACAGGGCTGTTTGACTCACTGTATTTAGCTGCCTAATACCTGGCACCAGAGATCAGCTTCCTATACCACTCCCAAAGCAATAGGCCCGACTGTCCTGACCTGTTCTGGCTACAGGCGGAGCCCTGCCAGCCACGGAGGGAGAGGGCAGTGCTGACTTGGCAGAACGCCACGGCTGGACAGCAGCAGTGATGCGGGGGGGTTGGGTGCGAAGGTGCTGCAATTATTTTTCTGCTAATGAAAATAAGTTTTAGCCTCAAGATATTTCAAAATGACAAACAGCAGGAAAGAAGAGAATGGAAGAGGGGCAGACAGGGAAGGAAAGGAGTGGTGCAGAGCAAGAGAGGGGAGGGGAAAAGCAAAAGAACCGGTTAGAACAGGTACAAACGAGGAGCCCTCCTTTTCTTGTTTTTTTTGCGACTTCACTGACTCCCACTGTTCTCCTTGAGGAAAGCAGATCTTCCCCTAACGCCAGTGTCCAACCACTGGAAGACCTCTCCCTGCCCCCACGCTCTTTTCTTAGTTTGTTAAAATCCCTCTCAATGGTTGCAGAATGCAGACAAGTGTCTGCTTTCCTAGGAAATGTTACATGGATATGAAGTACAGAATCCCCTTGATACTAGAGATGCTTGGAATGTCCCTTATTTGGCCAGGACAGATGAATGTCTGCCACAATCCATTATTTAGGAACTGCTGGAGGGTGTCCAAGGGGTCGGAGAGAGAGCAGCCAGAGGAATATTGGCGAGGCCAGGGAAACCAGCAGAAAGGAATAAGCACTTGCATTGTAACTTCTTTCATGTATAAAGTGATATGATGTTTGTTGTGTCCAGCCACAGGACTGGAAAAGCAAGTGAAAAAGCTGGTGATGGGGGGAGAACAGCTGGGAAACCATCGTAGATAACAAGAGGGGCAGGTAAAGAGACAACAATCCACAACTCTTTCACTAGCCAACATCTTCCTTAGGCAGTCAGACCATCCAATCCCAGATCAGCTAGCTAAGCGAGGAATATTGTGCACTGCAAATTGTAAGGGCTGGGAAAACTCTAAACTTCAGAGAGGCAAAAGCAGCAAATGTGTACCCCTGTTCTCCTCTCCTGTCCTGAGAAGGAACCAGTGTTCAGTGGCAAACTGGGAGTTTGTTTCTAAAAGCCACGCTTTATCACATGTTGAATGCCAGGCTGCAGCCAGTCACCACAATGACCTTTCCCTTCCCTGTCAGCTCTTTTTAGAGTGTAAGGCAGATATCTTCAAAGGCACCTGGCATTTCGATGGCCAATTACCAGTAAGCAGCTTGCAAAATCTCAGCCTAACCTCTTTGAGGCGGGACTATGCCCTCTTGTGTGTCCGTACATCGCCTAGTGCACCGTGGGCTCCACTGCAAACAAACACTAGGGGGTCTGTCTGCACAGCAAAGAAAATCCTGCGGCTGGCCCATGCCAGCTCACTTAAGCCTCTGGGGCTTGGGCTATGGGGCTGTTCCATTGCTATGTAGATGTTCCAGGCTTGGCGGGAGCCCAAGCTCTGTGACCTTCCCACCTCGCAGGGTCCTAGAGTCCCGGACTTGGGTGGGAGCCTTAACATCTTAACAGCAATGGAATAGCCCTGCAGCTCAAGCCCCACGAGACAGTCAGCTGGTTCAGGCCAGCCATGGATGTCTAGCTGCTGAGTATGCGAATATTAGACATATGCTAATAATAGGATTGGAGCCGCAACTCAGATCCTTGGTCCTCTCGTTGCTGGCCTTTCTGAGATACAACAATCAGTCACACAGCCTGATCTGACTAGGCACAGGCCTCAATTTAGAAATGCTAGTTTGTAAGAATAGAAGTAATTAACCCCACAGAAGGGATTTTTAAATATAAATAGCTATGTGTGTGCTGCTATGGACTAAGCACAAGTGACTCCTTTATGGTAGTGTTGCCAACCCTCCACGATTGTCCTTGAGTCTCCAGGAATTAATCTTCCATTAAAGATTATGTCATGTGATGAAACCTCCAGGAATAAATCGAACCAAAACTGGCAACCCTACTTCTGGTCATGGTACTACGTATGTTCCCAGTGTCACAACAGCCAGAAGAGCTTGTGCTTAGTCAGACATCACCAATGGAATACGAGAACTGTAAGGTAACTCCTTCGGCAGGGATATAACTGGAGCATTCTCATGGATGGATCTGCTCTGGTCAGTACTGGCGACTCTTACCCTCTGCCTCTGTCCCAACCAAAAGCTGTGCCCAGTCACATCAAAGCATGAAGTCATTTTCCATTTCCTGTTTTGGTGCCGGCCAACCAGATCATCCCACGTCACCCGATCTGAAAGTTATCCCCTCTCATACCAGAGCTAACTAACTTCCTTCCAATTCATGTCCCATATCAATTATGGAATACCAGTCTTCCAAACACAAGGAGGGCTCCCCACTGAGAGACAGTTGCATAAACTGATCTCTGACTAATGAGGGTTAGGAGATCCTCCTCTAAGAGCATGTTCTCCTGTCACTGCCAATCGCAGGGTTTCTTGCACCTTCCTTTGAAGCAGGTGATATTGGCCACTGTTGGAGACAGGGTGCTGGACAAGAAGGACCTCTGGTTTGACCCAGACTGGCAATTCCTACATTCTTACACTTGGTTTCCTGCAGTAAATACTAGAGCTGGATAAATATTAATTTGAAATCTAAATAAATTTGCTTGTGTCACAGCTCTCTTTTGCCACATTTGGTCAGCTTTCGCAAGGGTCATTTTTACCAGCATGGATACCTGCCGGAAGTATATTTAAGATTTACTGCCTGTGAACGTTTATCTGATTATAAAGGTTACCCTCCTGCATTGAGGGAAGAGAAACAATACCACGTGCCTTTTGTGATGTATCACAACTAAATAACACAGCTCTAACAGCAAGCCACAGAGCACATAACATTAACAACAAGCCACAGAGCACACGGCATTTGCCAGAGATTTTCACCCGATGGTTTTTGAGAAAAAAAACCAGCATCTGTTTGTGGACAAACTGCAAACAAATGAAAGGCAAAACTGCACAGAATAAATTATTCCCTACACATGATTCACTTATCTCTGCTGCATACTCTTATCAAAGTCTTTCTCAAACTGGAGTTATTCCTGCAGAAGGGACCCCAGCTCCCTTCCCAGGTGCGCGGTACTTATGGGTGGTTCCTGGGGTGTGGAATAGCAGAGTCTGCTACCATCGCTTCCCCAGGCCGACACAAAGTTGTGGTACCTTGGCATTCTAGGCCTGTTTTTTTTCCCTGACTGGAAAAGAAACCAAGGAAAGTCCCAGCTTGGGGAAGCAGAAAGAAGAAAAGCCTGAGGGAGCTGCACCACGGAACTTGTCTACACTAGTCTTCCCCCCTGAAATTTCCCATGGGTGCAGCTCCACTGGTGGTAGAAAACATGTAGACGTGCTGGCTTTTTAACCCTTGTTACTAAAACTGGTGGGAAATGTTAGGGGAAAAAGGCCGAGTGCAAAGAAGGCCTCAAAGGAAACCAGTAACCCCACATTCCCTTTCTCTTAGAAGCTTCCCTTGATTGGGCAGGCTGGTGAGTCAAAAAACAACATATGAAGTGGGGTAACTAGAAACAGGTAATTTACTAGGCAGCAGAGGAAGCTGTTTCAATTTCTTCCAAATAACTGAAAATTCACAGTAGCAATTTGACTCTTTCTGAATGTCTGTCGTAATGCACACGAGACTCATCGTTGATGTCTCTGACAGAGACTTCTTCTACAGCTGCACAAGCCGCAGTTGTTCCTTCGTCCAAAGGGCTCAAGAGTAGAAGGGAAAGTACCTGTGCCAAGCAAAGTCATTTTGAATATCAGAAAGGATCAACCTTCTTAAACTCTCTCCAGACTAGGGAGAGCGAGGCATGGCTATCGCAAAGAACCGAACAGACTGAGTTTCTAAATTCTTCTGTCCTTATTGGGTAAAAATTCATGGATCCATAAACCTCTAATGCTGCCTCTGCCTTACCAGGGTGGGAGGCTTTGGGCATACAGCCTTGATGTAGTTCCAAAGTTTATGTGGTATTTAGATATTCCCTTAAGGCAAGAACCTAGTATTGTGTGTGGAAGTAAATGCACCCTAATATATCCTCACAAAGGAGATGGATTAATAGTGGAACATGAAGCTGGCTAGTTTTCCCAGCAGAAGGGATAGCCAGTAACAATATAGTCTCCAGGGCTGTGAATCTTCACTCTACGGTTGTTAATAGCTCGGGCAAAGGGAGTTCTGCTGAAAGGGCTTATAGCATCAGTCCTGTCCACTGCCGTTGGCACACAAGCACCTGAAAAGGAAAAGTCTCCTGATGCCTTTAAGGGGAAATAAAACAAACGCTTTCATTTTCTCATTCAGGGATCCCACAGCTGTGAGATTTGCTGCAGCATGCAGCCCTTCCCGCAGATGTGTGCTGCAGAATCTAACCCTTCGTTTAGGGAAATTCCAGCCTTACAGTTACAAACTGTTCAAAGGTGAACTGAGCGCAAACTGATGCAGAATCAGGAAATACT